CGATTAGAACTCTTTTGAAAATCAAATTGGACGTGATTTTCAACCAATTCTCGACTCCTACAAATAGAGAACAACAGAATACATAGAAAGAGCTCTCATATACATATTATACTTCAATATTCATCAATTAATATCATCAAATGAGGAGAATTCATAATTATTGTGAGAGAATTGAAGGAAATTTGCAAGAATCCAATCAAGTGAAGATTCAAATCTGATTTTTGGGCAAAGAAGAGAAGGCGCTAGTGGTGATTCATCAAGAAACCATTGAAGAGATTCAAGATTTCAAGATTCATCTTCATCTTCTCAATTTATCAAAACCGGGTTATATCTTTTCACTTATATATGATTCTTTGTAATTTCAATATGTTAGGCTAAATTTATACATTGCTAGGATGAAATGAACCATTGTTATGATATTTTCAGTTCTTAATTAATTATTTTGACTTTAATTTGATTTAATCTGTGGATGTTTATCATCGTTTTTATTGTTTTTTTCAATTGCTTGATCACCAATTGAATTGTTAGTGAATCTTATTGTTATCGAGAGAGACAATAGGGTTTAAGTATATTATAATAAACATTGTAAGGTTCGATAGAGGGTAGAGATATATCTTTATACTTTATATGGTTTCAATAGATGTTCTAGTACTTGTTAGTGCATTTATCATGTTTGCATCTTTCATCGAGAGATTGAATGGTCACATGAGGGGAATAGATTTGATCGCTATCGAGAGAGGCTTTCAATTAAATTAGGAACATTGACCAACATAAATGATTTTAAATTTGTTAATTTAATTGTTACACTAAAAATGGAATAATAAGGGGGATTCGACATTTTAGCAATACATCTCACGATTTTAGTTTGATTGATAATTTAGGTATTAGTATAGAACAAATCAAAAAATCTATTTGTTATTTGATTAAAATTGCAATTAATTTTAACTCGATCAAATACGTAGTCCTCGTGGGTTTGACACTCTATTCACCACTTTTTACTTGTTCACGATCACATTCACTTGCGGGAAATTGAAGATGAAGTTAGAGAACATGCTAGTACAATATATATTTATGTGCATACATTTTTGGAGTCTCCAACATTTTTCGATGGCAGAACAGATCTCATAAAACATAGAAACAAAAAGAAAGGAATTGGAGATTATACCTTATTTGTCCTGCGCAAACAACGGCTAAACATTTAAATACTATTTACTATAATAATTATTTCCTTATTTTATTTAATTTTACTTTATAACACAAATTTATCTAACAAAAAAGTGTTTTTTTACAGGCCAAACTGTCCTATATTTGTTCTCAAATTCATAAAATGCTTTGTTTTAAACTATCAATAGAAATAGTTTCATTAGATAGAATGGGTATTTACAGACGGAAGATTGCAGTTGATCTATGTTTCAATGAATATTTTTTACATCAATAATCATCTTAATTTTGGAACAACACAAGGTACTTGTAAATATTTTAGTTTAATCATCTATACTATTTCCAACCTTTTTTTCTTTCTTATGATATCACAAGTGTCATTTTCACTTCGTATCATCCAAGTTTTTATTGCATGGATATATTGTGAGTCCTTGAATATAAGAGGTCATTGTTGCAAATTAATCCCGCAAGTGTATGGTTACGTTGTACATGTAATATTTGTGATGAGTGAGTTATCGTCGCATAGGGAATAAGGATTAATTCTAGTGTAACCGATATAA